GTGCTGGTTCTGTGGTTGAAAGCTTGGAATGAGAAAGCTTGGAATGAGAAAGCTTGGAATTTTCCTCCTTGTTGAGATGTGCAATTTGCTTCAATTAATATGTTGTGAGAATCTATTAAGTCCTGTCAGTGTTCTCCTAAGGTGACTGTAAGGAGGAGTGGAATAAGAGTAGGCAGTCCTCAGCCTACAGTCAATTAAAGTTATGACGGCATTGAAAAAAGATAATTTACGACTGGTTCTCACTTTTAGGATTATTGCAGCATTCCCGCAGTCACATGATCAAAATTTAGGCTCTTGGCAGTTGTAGGATCCTGGCGTCACATGATCACAATTTGTCTCCTTCCCAAGGGACTTCCGTCAAGCAGACTGAATGGGGGAAGTTGGATTTGCTTAATGACTGTGATGATTTGCTTAATGACCATGGCAAAAAAGTAAAATCAGGTGCAACTCAATTAATGACCGCATCATTTTGGTCTCAGTTGTGATCATAAGTTGAGGACTACCTGTGATCTCATAGAAGATTCTAACTAGATACAAATTATCTGAGCATTTTTTTTTTAGTTGCTTAGCTTTTCCTTTATGCCTAGAGAAAAATTGAATCCCTTCTTCCGTTTTTTTTTAGTGATCATGTATCCTCTAACCGGTTTTAATGGGAGAAATAGGTCTCACTGGCTGTGATTTACATACAAAAGGATCAAAGTGCTCTCCATGGCACAAGAAAACATTCATTTGAAAGGAAATGAAACTCCAAGCCATAAAAATGGGCTTTATTTGCTTTTGTGAAATGTTACATCCTAATTTATTGGCGGAGCAATATTTGTGCTGTCATTAAAATGGCACAACAGCTGCGAACATTAGTTTGGAGAACTTGTTTTGATAGGATAACATCTGGGGTCAAACCACATGAATGACAAGAAACAAGCTGATTTCTTCATATTGTTTTCTTCCCCCTGGGGGGGAGGGGGAGATCAAAAACATACTTTCTCCCTTTTCAGGAGAGAAACATCAATAGGAGCTTTAGGAAATGTATTTCAGATAAGATTGAAGATTTCCCTGCTTTCTACCTGTTCCCACCCTGTCTCACTCAGGCTGTTTTCCCTTCTTATTGTAGTCTCTCTGCTATCACCCACTCACCCACTTATTGCTGGCTTCCCTATTCCTGCTACTTTTCTCCTTTCATCATCAGTTAGCTCAGCGGTTCTCAACCTATGGGTCGCGACCCCATTTGGGGTCGATCGACCATTTCACGGGGGTCGCCAAGCAAGGCTGTCCGCCATTTTTTTCCCCTTTTCTGGGGGGTGCCTTACCTCCCTTGAGCTGGGCCAGCTGGTGGTCGCCCTGCTCCGTCTCTGCCGCTTGCCAGCTACGCCTCGGCCGGTGCAGGGGGTGGAACCACGCATGCACGGCGCTCCCGGGCAGGGAAAGTCCTCGACTTACGACCGGTTTAGTCCTTGACTTACGACCGGTTTAGTCCTCGGCTTACGACCGGTTTAGTCCTCGACTTACGATTGGTTGGGGGTCGCGGCATTAAAAAGGTTGAGAACCACTGAGTTAGCTGATAAGCGCCAGAGCTCCTGACTGCAGCCGCCTTGCCTGTTTCATTTCTGGAGATTTCTCTGCCATGTGGTATTCTAGACAAGGGGAAAAAAAATTGACATCGGAGGACAGCAAGTTGGAATGCTCTTGTTTAGTGATAAAATTCAGTGATAAAGTTGTTCAATGATAAAGTTTCAGAGGTTCGGTGATGCCCCCAGATGCTGTGTTTCTACATCAAGACATTTCTATATCATGATTTGTTCACCAGAACAGTAGTGAATAGTTCTTTCTTACAGCCTTATGCTGTCAAAATAGTTCCATGAGCATCTTAGTCATCAAGATACTAGAACAGGGAGGGAAAAAAATAGCAGCTTTTGTTATGTGTACTAATCTAAATCTTCAGTGTAGAGGACCCTCAATAGAATTGAGACACTCTACAAAATTTTATAGATGTTGGCAAGAGATGAGTAATCTGCAGCTTAAACAGAGAAATTTTTAGGTGAAGTGCAGAATTCTAATGTTTATCTTTTCCAGATTCTTGCCCCAATAGTTAAGTCATCCTCTGTACATCACACACGCATGCACAACACACACACACACACACACACACACACACAGAGAGAGAGAGAGAGAGAGAGAGAGAGAGAGAGAGAGAGAGAGAGAGAGAGAGAGAGAGAGATTAGGAAGTATATTTTGGCAAGTTTTTTCTAAAGTTTCTGCATTTGTTTTCTGTTTTTTCAGTAAAAAGAATATTATAGTGCAGTCAAACCACAAATTGCTGTCTGTGCCTTTCAAGGGCAAAATAAATACAAATGTGAATCAGAATGTTGTTTATTAGAAGGAAAGAAAAACGCTGATCAACATAATAGGTATTTTTCTGATTATTTAGAGGCTCTTTGTTTTTCTCCCCCCCCCTTTTTTTTTTTTTCTCTTGAAATTTGTATGTTTAGAATTCTATGAAAGTGTTAAGTTTTCTCTGTAGAGCTCTGGCAGATGGGGGGTTCCTTTCTTTTTAAGGTATCCATGCACTTTCATTAATTGTGAGATCACTTTGAAGTTTATGTTAGGCATATGATAGAAATTCAAGCGAGAAAACTGCCCATAAATCCTGCCTGCCACTCAAGGGTTTTAGTGATCATGTCTTGGAAAGATTCTAAAAGAGAGAATGTGATTTAGGTTATAAATTTTGGAAATTGGCATCTTCATGATGAAATTGTAAGATACAAGGCAATGCTTGCATTAATGCAGTCCCCTACGAGTGGCATTACCGAGTGCCAAGCAGTATTGTCTTCCTTGCAGTTGCTTGTCTTTTGTTCATGAACACAGATGAGAGAGGTGAAATATTGTGCTGCAATGGCATGTAATGCTAAGAATCATCTCTGTATTCAGTTTCTGTGTATTTCTTTCAAAAAGCAAGAACCTGAAAGGTAAAATGGGTAGCGAAAGATTACTGGGCCATTTCGGATAGAACAAAATGCTGTATTTCATTTTGGTAGTCTGTAAAATAATATTATGAAGGGACATTGTGTAACTTAAGATAAGTGGATTGTATAACTTCATTTAAATTCAGGACATACTTTGTACTACTATTGCTTGGGGTGGTCTGTTTCCTGCTCCTTCTCTTTGACCAGACTTTCCAATACAGGTATTAATAGGGATTGATTTTCAGCCTTCATTCAAATTTTACTAAAACTGTTGAGGCTGATACAAAACTAAACACGACCCAAGATAGATGAATTACTTTTCTCCCTTGGAAAAACTTCCAGGAGACTTAAGCAATGTGGTTGTAAAGAGAGAAGTCATGTGATCACATCGCTTAGCAACTATAATCCCAACAGTCCTGGGTCATTAAATGGAAGGAGTTCCAGATGAAGAGTGCGGGGGTGCCTCAATGGTAGGGAGGACCCTATGGGCCCAGCGTAGGCTGCACACAAGTTTGGTGTGTGTGTGTTTGTGTGTGTGTGTGCTGAAATGTGGCACAAGTGCAGGGAGGCCAGAGAAAGAATACACTGTGGCTCTGGCCTCTTGGGGTGTTGCACTCTGGGCCTGCAAAAAAATCCCTGAACCACAGTGGAGTGCAAAAGTGCAGCCGCCTCTGGAAACCTCAGCCTCCCCAGCGTAGGCCAGCAGCATGGTGCAAAGCCACCACTTCCTGGGAAGCCTCAGCCACCTTGCTCTCCACAGGCCCTGCCACTCCTAGTTGACCTTTGCCACTTTCCTCCTGCTGATGAGGCACACTTAGCCTGACCCTACTATAGCGAGACTGAGTGCTGGTTATGCCAAGCCTTCTTCCTGAGGCCACTCACACCATTCTTCAAATCACGTGGCCTATCCTCATGATACTTCAGAAAGCCTTCAGAAAGGTTCTTTCCCAGGTCTTGCAAGAATGGGTGTGCTATGTAGAGAATGGTAGACACCAGGCTAGAAACCAGGAGACTGTGAGTTCTAGTGCCACTTTCAGCAGGAAAGCTGGTTAGGCAACTTTAGGCCAGTCACTCCCTCTCAACCCACAAGAGCAGGCTTGGGCAACAAGCTGGTTGGTCAATTCTTGTTGCAATCAATGGTTCAACACTTGGTTAATGGGGGAAAAAGTAGACCATGCCCTTGTGGGGAAAACACCAGGAAGGGGGAAAAAAAAGTACTTGCCATAAGCTTTTTTATCTTTAGTTTTACCTTTCTAATTGTTTTAACTGTTATAGTTCTTTTGGCACTTCACATTTTGAAGATAATTGTTTGTACATTGATGGGAATTTTGAAGTGATGTTATTGTATTGAGTTGTTTAATAATAAAAATGAGACTTCATGGGAAATTGTCAAAGTGACATACAAATAATGCATACGTCATTTATTGATCTTATTATTATGGTAGAATTTTTCTTAAATATTAGAAAATGAATAGAGAAATTTTAAGATATGCAAATTTAATAGAAAGGTAGTAGACAACATGTATTATGTCATGAGGGATGAGTGTTTGTGGACAGAAGCAAAATGAATTTTATTATATGGGAGTGAATAAAGCTGAATATGTTAGAAGAAACATAAAAGTAAATAGAATGGAATGGGAATGGAATACATAAGAAATATGTGTAGTAAAACACGGGGAATAGATCAAGAATAAATGACTACTTAAGGAATGTTCATAGAATAGGGAGAATAAATGAGAATCAAATTGCAAAACAGGAATCAGATTTTGTTAGATATTTATTTCTTTTTCCCGACTTCTTTTTTTTTTTAATTTTTCTACTTATTGCTTCTTACTCTTTCTCTGCACTAATGTTGCTAATCTTAAAAGAAAATAGCATGATCGATATATACATGGGTAAATTTTAGATAGATAAATGCATGATTCCTTCTGATACATCCCAAAATAGTTCAGATAATTTTCAGTGATGTGCATTTCCATTTGCAAAAGTAAAATTCATTCATTCATTCTTTGCTTTATTTATTTTGTTTTTTGCAATTAGGCCCGGTACAAACAGAGTCTAGATCCTACAGTTGATGAAGTTAAGAAATTGTGTACTTCATTGCGTCGAAATGCTAAAGAAGAAAGAGTCCTTTTCCATTATAATGGACATGGTGTCCCCAGGCCAACAGTGAATGGAGAAATTTGGGTCTTTAACAAGGTATATGAATTGCAAATTGAGCTAAATCGCACTCTCTCTTGTACATTTGTATTTCCTGGGAATCCAATACAGTATAAAGCAATAAAAAGCAAAATGTTAATGTTTGATTATCTAGCTGTTTGTTCATTCTTTTTGTGTACCTTGAAGTAAAATTATGATTATGTCACAAAAGCAAATGGAGTATATTTTAAAGTGCACATTGTACCATCTGCATTGCAAAAAAAATGTTTTTATTGCCTATTTGTTAACTAGCTTGCCAGTATTGGTCAGGTCTACTGAAGGTTGCTTTAGCTATTAGGATTCCTTTAAAGATTACATGTCCGGGCTTTGATGGATAGCTGTTTTGCAATATTTTTGCTTCTCTGTATGCCTTCTTCCCAATAAAATTGGCAAAATACCCAAGGTACAAAAAAATTAAAATTCCGTTCCAGTCCTAAGAGTATTTTGATTGTGAGGAACAAGCATAAGCCAGCAGTGTCCCACCTCAGCTGGTTTGACTTAGCTACAAATATCTGTCTGAAAAGTTGATAAAAACCGAAGCTGGCTGGCTGGCTGACCGACCCATGGAAGATAGTGCCTATATTAAAAAAAAAAAAATCACTATCTGCCAGCTACTTTAAAGTGAGCACCTTTTAAATTGTTGGTGTTAACTTCTCAAGTTCTAAATAGCTTAAGGCATGCCTCCCTGGGGGACTACCACTGTCTGGCTGTTAAGATCTTGACAAGAATTCCTTTGGAAGAAGCCCCCATTTTCTTGAGACCTGTCTTTCTGATAATGAAAGCTGCAGGGTAGTGGAACACGTTCACTTGGGAGTTGTCTTTGGCTCCTTTTAGCCAAGGATTTAACAACCTGTCAATATGCGTCTCCTTTGCCAGGTTCTAAATGTTAAACTATTTTTTTCTGCCTCTCTTAGTATTTATGTTATGTTGTTAACTTTTTGTTTCTAATTTTATTAATTGCCTTGAGTTCTGTTAGAATAGACAGATAGTTTAAATACTGTCCATTCATGTTTATTTAGACTAATGGTAATTTGAGCATCTATTATATGGGGGGAGATAGCACAAAGAGTAATTTATTTTGGCATGTATCATTTATTTCTGGCAAGTGTGCAACTATGTTTTGGTGGTGGTTGAAAACCCCTCCCTTTATTTGACTAATGAGATGCCTGACCCACAGGGAAAACCCACCCACCCACAGGGAAAACAAATGATTAGTGTGCCTTTTTTCATTAAGTGTTTGTTCCCCATCCCACTTCAGTTGCTGAGGAAATGCCAGCAAGTATTTTTACATCATTGACAAAATAGGGGAATTTGTTGGATGAGTAAATTCTGTCTAGGGAAATATTCCAGAGAGATAGATTATAGGAAAAGTCATATATACTCAAGTGCTTAGCTCAGTGGTTCTCAACCTTTTTAATGCCGCGACCCCAACCGGTCGTAAGTCGAGGACTAAACCGGTCGCAAGTCGGGGACTAAACTGGTCGTAAGTCGAGGACTAAACCGGTCGTAAGTCAAGGACTACCCAACCGGTCGTAAGTCGAAGACTTTCCCTGCCCGGGAGCACCGTGCATGCGTGGTTCTGCCTCCTGCGCCGGCCGAGGCGTAGCTGGCAAGCAGCAGAGACGGAGCAGGCTGACCACCAGCTGGCCCAGCCCAAGGGAGGTAAGGCACCCGCCAGAAAAGGGGGAAAAATGGCGGACAAAAAAAAATGGCGGACAGCCTTGCTTGGTGACCCCCGTGAAATGGTTGATCGACCCCAAATGGGGTCCCGACCCACAGGTTGAGAACCACTGGCTTAGCTAAAATATCTTCAAGTCTGAACTTCTCATAAATGCTTCAATCTACAGACTCTTGGTGATGTACAAAGATAATAAACTGTATAAGCCTAAGATATCCACAATACAATAATATGGAAATTACTAAAGTTATAAACAAGGTAATAATATAGAGCAACAAGGTATTTATTTGTTAAATATATATCCCACTGAAATAATATAACACTCTCCAGAAACTCAATAATCAAACAAAAACCTTAAAAATACATTAAAACATCCCCAAAGAATGCATGAGATCAGACTCCAAAAGTCCTCTTGGAAAACTATGTTTAACTTCTTACAGAAGATTAATAATTTTTATTATTTATTTATTTATTAAGAAAATTTATAAAGGTAAAGCCGAGTCTGACTGTAGGGGCAGTGCTCATCTACGTTTCTTAGTTGAGGGAGCCAGTATTATCTGAAGACACATCTGTGTCTAGCATGACTATATGCCGAGGTACATGGACCATTTTGTTACCTTCCCAAAAAATGGTTACCTATTTATCTACTCTCATTTGCATGTTTTCAAACTGCTAAGTAGGCAGGAGCTGGGGCAAGTAATGGGAACTCACCCCATCACGTGGTGTTTAGTTCTCCAACCTGGACTGTCAGGTTTCCAGCTAACAAGCTCAGCGTCTTTAACATCTGAACCATCACGCCCCCCTTAAGAAAATTTGTATGGCAGCCCAATTCCCAGATCCTGATGCTAGTCCAAAAAGATGCCACGGTTGATGATATAAAATGCCAGTGAGAGGTCCAAGAGGATCAGAACAGTCACTCTACATCATCATCAACAACAACAACCAATGCTGCTTGCGTAACATACCCAGCTCTGAGTCCAGATAATCTGCTTTATCTGTAAAACCACCATCTGAACAATTTTCACCCAGAAAAGAAGATTGCAGCCTGAGTGGTAGTAATCCAACACCTCTGGATCCAGAGAAGGTCTCTTCAGGAAGGAGATGACCAATACCAGTCTAAATGCTGCTGGTATTTACTACTTCCATAATGAGGTATTAATAATCACTTTGATTCAGGGGACTAATATTCCTCCTCCCCCCTCCCCCAATTATCCAAAGAAGCCAAGAGAGATAAGAATCCAAGTCACAGGTGGACAAGGACATCCTAAAAAGCAAACTACCCACTTCCTCAGAGGTAACAGGCCAAAAGGAAAGCCAGCTGACTTGACAGGATGATGTCCCAGTCACTACACAATGCCCTGCCCAAGTGGAGTCCAGATCAAAGTAAATTTGAGTGACTTTACCAGCAAAATGTCAAGCAACATAATCACAGGGTATCTCCTACTGAAAAGGGAGTTAGCAACCAGAAAAAGAGGCTCTGGAAAACAACCAGTTGAATACTTTATTTACGTTATTGGCACAGCGTAGGCCTGAATTAGGGCACACAGCCATGTTCAGTCAAACTAAGTTTTAATTTTTCTTCATCTGCATTTGAAGCCATTTCATCTCCTGAAGCTCCTCAGAAACCCAACAAGCTACCTAGGATGTCTGGCAGAAAGAAGCCACTCAGGAACAATTTTGTCAAGGGCCCAAGATACCACTTCATGCGAGTGGTAGACAAGGCCATCAGCCAAACCATCTGCAAGATCCTTGGGAAAAATCCATTTGGTACCTGGGCCACACTGATATATAAATATTTATTTAAAAAATAAAAATACAAATATCTATGTGGCATTCCTTCAATAAATTAAAATGTAAAAAACCCTTGAAAGACCCCCACTTTAACTTCTTCTACAAGGAGTATAAAATTGGATCTGATCTAACAAATAATAACAATTTAGCTTATTAAGGGAAGCTGTATCATGATAACGGGACCATAGCCCCTATAAATTAAATAAATAAAGTTTTACATACTGCACTATATGTTTTTAAACATGCAGAGTGAATTTGACTGGATAAAGCATAGTATAAAAATGCGCATGTTTCAATTCTTCTCAAAGTTTTCAATCCCTTCCCGTCCCCAATGTGGCTTCAAAATTGTTGGAAATTTTACATCTCTACTCACTACCTTTGTGTGCCAGCTTGTACATACCTGAATTTTTCCTGTTCTTTCTTGCTGTTAAACTTGCGCAAAGACTACAAAGTTGCAGATTGAGTTTTCACATTGATATTGTGGATCTAATAGAGAGCAGAGAGTTTTTGCACTGCATTTTGGAATCCCTTGCCTATCAGAAGGCACGTCGTAATGGGGAAATGCAACGAAAAGGCATTTTGCTTCTATTGGCATTATCTTCTGAGGTAACTTGAAAAAGTATGCTCTGCCTTGCGTGACATATTGTATATGGAAGAGCTCTTTGTCTACTTCAATATTACTGAATTAATAAAGAGTCTTATTTCAATCAAAGTTCAAAGGGTTTTGGATGGGCTTGACTATTGGACCCCATTCAAAAGCATGCAGTTCAGTGGTGAAGAAATGAAACAGCCTGCCTCTTGGACGTGTGGATACTCCATCATTGGAGATTTTCAAAATGGGCTGCTATTTTTCGGGGATAATATCAAGATTCCTGCGAAGGCAGGGACTGCGTTAAAGTACCTCCAAGGCCCTTTCAGCTTTCTGTGATTCTGATTCTGGTTATAGTGGTGGTGCCTGTTCTGAGCATCATATTAATTATTGTTTAAGCTTGATTTATTCTTAAATCAAAGGAAGTCCTTTTGGATTCTAAAAACCACATTTAAGGCACCAGTGATTGCTAACACTATACTTGTGTTTCTGCAGAAGTAAGGGGGGGGGGGAAAGGCAGCTTTATATGCATACAGTATTTGAATCTTGCACCAAAACATGAATGAAAGACAAAAACCTGGGATCTTAGATACTAATAAATCCACTGTCCCATATGTTTCATGTGATGGAGTCTAATTCATAATGATACTTTAGTCCAGGGGTAGTCAACCTTGGCTCTTTTATGACTCGTGGACTTCAATTCCCAGAATTCCTGAGCCAGCTTGGCTGGCTTAGGAATTCTGGGAGTTGAAGTCCACGAGTCATAAAAGAGCCAAGGTTGACTACCCCTGCTTTAGTCCATGAAAAACCATATGCTATAATAAATCGATTAGTCTGTAAGATACAATAAGGCTCTGGGGTTTTTTATATCCATATGCTAACACATATATATTCTCAATAATATCCTTGAAGACGTGACTCCTGGGTAAATTCATAGTATAA